ATGGAGGATGGAGGATGGTGGATGGAGGGTGGATGGAGGATGGATGGTGGATGGAGGATGGAGGATGGTGGATGGAGGGTGGATGGAGGATGGATAGAGGGTGGATGGAGGATGGAGGATGGTGGATGGATGGTGGTTGGAGGAGGGTGGATGGAGAATGGAGGATGGATGAATGGGAGGACAGACGGTCATCCACTTCTGTGATCATTGAATTTAACAGCCACAGTGAGGCTCAGGGGGAATGAGGCAGTTGAGATAAGGCGTAGGTAGCAGCTTGTCACCATGGGCTCTGCTAGAGTGAGGTCCCCTTGGTCAACGGCCCTAGCATTGGTTAAGTTTTGCGGCAGCACTAGCATGTCTGCTAAGTAACATGTGTCCTGTCGCCTTTCAACAGCCTGGCATCCGGGTGGCTTTTTCTCAGGAGTCACTTAGGGATGTGCCCCTGGGAGTCAGCACCATGGGTGGGAGCTGGCTTCTCTTCCTGTCTCATGGTCGTTGTCTGGCCTTGTTTGTGGCATCTCTGGCCATGTATAGCTCTTCCCCAGCAGCCTACCATCAGACCAGGAGGAACCCCAGCCCCTTCCTGGGCACACCTCTCACATCACAGTGGGGTGACCTCCTAGTGCTGCCTGCCCCACAGCTGTTAGAGACCCTCCCTGGGAGTTGCAGGATGGGGGCAGGCTGCCTCATCACCCAAGTGTTAGAGCACAGACACCTGTCCGAGATGCGGGGTGTTAACCCTGGGTGGTGGAGAGGGTGCCCCGCACACTCCCTACAGCAGCCGTGGGAAGGGGCAGTGCCGGGAAGGGCTGCAGCCGGGCCAGCTCTGTCTCTCCACAGCTGGGGCTGCCCGAAGCAGAAGTACACCTTCAACGAGTCGTCCTCGGAGATCAACTGGTGAGTTCACAGCCGGCTCTGCGTGGAGGCCCAGGGCTGGGGTGGGGGGATGGAGGTTCACACTGACCGGCCCCATGTGACGGGTGCCCAGCCTCAGCCTGTGAGCCCTTGGGTTCCCTGAGGACATGTCCAGCTGACCCCAGGCCAGCAAGTGGCGGGCAGCAGTGGGGGTGTCCCTGCAGGGCACCTGAGCGCTCTGGGAGCAATTTAAGAACTGGAAGTGTCACCTCAAGCCGGCCAGGCCCCACCTCTGTGATGCTCAGTTGGGGAGCGGGGAGACAGGGCAGACCCTCCTGTGAGTAAGGGTGCCCCAGCGGAGCATTGGGAAGTGACCCCCAGCACCCGGGTGTGCCTGGTCCAGAAGTTAGGACGTGTCCCCGGGGCTTGGCCACGACCTGCTAGGGCTCATCTTCCTTCCATCCTCCAACACGTAGATTTAGGGACTGCCCCCTCTCAGCACTCAGCCTGCCCCTCCCTCGGCCCTCAGCCTTGCCCAGCGGCCCTGGTCCTGCTTTTTACAACAACCAGCTTTGGTGCAGAGGCTGTGTCTTGGCAGGGACACCCCTCCCCGTGTCACTTCAGCTCACAGTAGCCCTGCCAGGAAAACAGGTCAGGAAAACGAGAGGGTCACTTGTCAGCACCTCTGCTCAGTGACACCTGTAGGAGCCTGTCCCCAGGGGCTGGGGAGAGAAAGGGAGGCCATCTGGGCCACGGGGACTTGGCCTGCAGCCTAATGCCACGTGGGACAGCTCGGCCCCGGCCTCGCAGGACCTGCCGGGGCAGCCCTGCTCAGCCTCCTTTCTCGGGGAGCCTTCTCTTCCCACGGAGTTTGCATCCCCTGCAAGGGCAAGGCGGGTGCCCTCAGTCTGGCCCGAGGAGCTGCCTGGGTCAGCAGAGGCCTGGGTAGCTGAGGGATGCCTACCCAGGCTCCCTGCCCTCTCTCCCCAGGGCACCTATCCTGTGGGTGGAAAGGAAGATGGCTCTGTGGGCGATTCAGGTGAGTGGGTAGGGAGGGCATGGCTTTGGGTGGTCTCAGCCCTTCTCCAGCCCCTCCCCGGCCCTCTCTAAGACTTCTGCCCTCCTTACAGGTCACCGTGGCCATAATAAGCTTCCTGGAGACCATGCTTCTCATTTACCTCAGCTACAAAGTGAGTGCCCCACCCCTGCCCGGCCGCCTCCCCAGCCGCCAGCCGCATTCCTGACCTGTGGTTGTTTGTTTCTCTCCCCACCCCGCACCCTGTGCCCCTCCATGCTCCCCGCCTGGCTCCCAGGGCAACATCTGGGAGCAGATCTTCCGTGTCTCCTTCGTGCTGGAGATGATCAACACGCTGCCTTTCATCATCACGGTGGGTGAGCTGCCGGCCGAGGAAGGGGCCGCAGGGACCCCCAGCCCCTGACCCGTGTCCCCCACAGATATTCTGGGCGCCTCTGAGGAATCTGTTCATCCCCGTGTTTCTGAACTGCTGGCTGGCCAAGCATGCGCTGGAGAACATGATCGTAAGCTGGGGCGCCCCACCTTGCCTCTGTGTGGCCCCCCAGGATCCCCGTGGGGCGGCTTACCACACCCCCAGCCCTGGCCTGTCGGCGCTGACCACTTCCCTTGGTGCCCCAGGAGGCCCGGGTGACAATTGCAACACGTTATCTCTGTCACTACGGAGAGATGCACCCAGAGCTTTTCCTGAGCCCGGGAAATCAGTGGCTGGATGAGGACAAACCGAGGCCACATGAACGGGGTCTAGGGCCACAAAAGCCAGAACCACGTGGCCCAGGGCCACACACAAACTGGGGTCATGAAAAGCCCTGCTGAGTGTCTAAGCAAGGTCCCTTTTGCAGAAATGTCAGCAGGCAGCGTGAGGGCTGTTTTGTCCCCAGCAGCCAGCCCCTCCAAGCCCAGGTCCCCTCCCGGCTAACTACAGAGCGAGGTACAGCACTCAGGTCGTGGCCTCTGACCTGTGCCCTCAGCCCCCACTCCGCACCCCCGTGGGGGGACAGGAGGCGTTCTTCTCCATTCATTCCACACACGTGTATCTGAGACACGCCGGCTGTGGGCAGGGCCCGGGGCTCCGTGGCATCCCAGGCTCCGGCAGTGACGCGCTGTGTCCTATAGAACGACTTCCACCGGGCCATCCTGCGGACGCAGTCGGCCATGTTCAACCAGGTCCTGATACTCTTCTGCACCCTGCTATGCCTGCTCTTCACAGGGTGAGTGCCACTGCCCAGGTGACAGCCCGCACGCCAGCCAGAGGTCACGCAGGCAGCACCAGCCTCTGTGACCAAGAGACCAGGAAGGCCTCAGGGTGGCAGACGGCAGCCCAGCTGGCACCAGGGACTAGAAGGCAGCTAAGAGTCCACGACCCCAGACCTGGGGAGACCCCAGTCTGGCTTCCTGATCGGTGCCTTGGGACACAGCTCCGCAGCCCCTGGCCGCTAGCCCTTAGCCGGGTAGGGACCCTTTGGCATGAGGTTCAACTGAGAGCAAGGTCTGGGAGCAGCCAGAATGAAAGGTGGGGCTCCTGGCACCCCACATCTGCCAGTGCTCATGCTGAAGCCCTGCCTGGTCCTGGTGAGGCTGTTCACCACCTGCTATCCCCCATCGGACGCAGGGCAGGATTCCTGCCTTCCCTTCCCCACTCCTCCCAACACACGTGGACCTCAGCAGAGCCGGGCAGGGCGTCCCTAGGGTGATTCAGCCCACTACCCCAGCAGCCAGCAAGTCCACCCGTCTGCCTGGGGGGGCTTTCTGTGCACCGCTGCGTGCTACTCCATGGTGTGTGCTATGGGCCCCCAGGCCCTGCCGTTAGCACCTCCCAGTCTGGGGACAGGGACTCAGGGTCGGGCACGGGAAGGACTGTCCAGCTCTTTGCCGCCAGGGCGTTGAGTGCCTCACACCATCTGACCTGGGTGAGATTGAGGCCTTGAGAGGTGAGGTGGCCTGTGGTGCTCACAGCCTGGGGGCCACGCCACCCCGACTGACCCCCAGGTCCACACTCAACCCTTACATCTCTGGCCACACTCCCAGTGAATTTTCCAGGGGCCTCAAAAGAGCCACCAGGCAGGAAGTGACAGTCCAGAGGGAAGCCCTACATGCTGGGTGTGCGGGTTCTGGCGGGAAGCACTGGCCAAGCTGGTCCAGGTGGCAGGGACCTGTCGGTGAAAGGGCAGCCAGGCTCAGCCCTGTGCCTCTGGGTGAGCCGGTGACATATCGCTCAGTCTTTGGGTGACGGGGTCTCATGGGGAGGCAGAGCTTCACCCCAGGAGCTCAGAGGGGGCCAAGGCCCCGCCCACAGTCCCCTGACCGCTCGGACTTGCAGGACCTGTGGCATCCAGCACCTGGAGCGAGCGGGCGAGAACCTGTCCCTCCTGACGTCCTTCTACTTCTGCATTGTCACTTTCTCCACCGTGGGCTACGGCGATGTGACGCCCAAGATCTGGCCGTCCCAGCTGCTGGTGGTCATCATGATCTGCGTGGCGCTGGTGGTGCTCCCTCTGCAGGTGAGCCCCGCCCCCGTTCCAGCCATCAGGGGGCAGCCGCCGCTAGGGCCATGAGGGGCAAAGCCAGAGGAGGGCGCTGACGAGGCGTTCCAGGGAGGGGCAGCCAGGCGGAGACCCAGGTGGGGCCAGGAGAGGGAGGGGTGGCCCCACTTCACATGGACCCTACCATGGGCTACTGGGGGATCTGGTGAGTAGCAAGGCCCACGGCCATCAGTGCAGTGAGTGGGGGTGGTAGCATTCTCTCAATGGGGAGATGTGGGTCTCTGGGTGCCGTGTGCAGGGTGTGGAGCAGGAGGGGCTGACAGTCTCCTGTGGGCCCTCAGCTGGTGCTGCAGCTGCTGTTAGGACCATGTGGGCACACCTGCCACTGCCCCCCCAGCTGCTTCCCTGTCACCTGTCACCAAGGCCAATCTTCTGGCTGAGCTGTGGTGGGCAAGACCCTAGCCCAGCCCCCATCAGAGGTCAGCCATGACAATTGGAGGCCTGGAGAGGGCGCCAGCTGGTTCCAGGTGCTCCCTGTTGGGGCAGCTGCCTGCCCCCTCCTCATTAGTCTGGAAATACTGAGCGTCTGGTCACAGATAGAAGGGGATGGTCCCGATCGCCTTCATTCTTCCACGGGACTATAGTCGCCAGTTTATATCCTTGGAGAAGAATAAAGGTGAAATGCCAGCTTGGAAATGCCTCTCCTGGAAGGTAGTAGGGAGGACAGCTGACGGCATCCTCCCGGCTCAGGTCTGAGTGTCGTCACACGTTAGTGTGCTGGCTTCCTGCTGCGGCCACAACAAAGCACCACAAACCATAGGGTTTGGAGGCTGCACCTGGCATCAAGGTGGTCAGGGCTGGTTTCTTCTAGAGGCTCTCTGGGGCTCTGCTTCAGGTGGTTCCAGCTTCTGGTGCTGCCGGCTGGCTGTGGCTTGTGGCCACATGGCCCCAGTCCTTGCTTCCATCGTCACTCCATGGCTTATTACTGTGTATCTCTCCGTGTCCTTTCGTCTCCTTATGACACCAGCATTGGATTTAGGGCTCACCCTGATCCTGCCTGACTTCATCTCAACCAGTTACATCTGCAAAGACCTACTTTCAAGTAAGGTCACATTCGGAGGGTCAGGTGGACGTGAATTTTGGGGGACACTATTGAACCCTCTCCAGGTAGGTCATTTAGTCAACACAGCCCTGGCAGGCTGGCACACCATGCCATTTTGCAGATGATGGAACTGAGGCTCAGAGCCACACACCTGTGGCAGGTGAGGCTTCAGCTCGGGAGAGTCTGCCGTCAGTCCCCACCCTGCATGGGCCTCAGGGATCAAGCTGGGGACTTGGACTCCCCCCGGCTGTGAAACTGGTCTTGTGCTTCAGGTCCACGGGATCTTGTCGCCAGAATCCAGTAGGAGCTCAATAAACTCAATAAGATGATGTCATTTCAAGGGGACACAATACATTGCCCAGTACAGGCGACCAGACAGGGTGCTGCTGCTGTTCCTTATGAACATGTAAGATAAGTGAGTGACTTCAGTGCTGCACACAGAGAAGGCTGGGACTCTTACGGTGGCAGGCTCCCTCCCACAGGTGTGCAGTCAGACCCGGGAGAGGCCCCGGACGGTCCAGCACCACGGACAGCTCCAGCACCCTGGACAGCTCCACTGAGCCCTGGCGCTTCACCCCCGCGCCCACTTTTATGGATGTCATTTTCCTGATTTAAAATGGCTCCCAGCACCTGAAGCTGACATTCAGGAAGCATGGGCCAGGTGGATAGTGTCCCCAGACCTTCAGCCTCGAATCACCCACAGCCTTGACGTGGGCTGGTGACTGTGGACCTGAACGTGTTTCTTCATACCAGGGGCCGGATTCTTAATTCTGTGGCTAAGACTTTCCTATCGCACTTTCATGTTTCTCCAAAATGGGTCTCAGGTGCTGGTGGAGACCCAAAGGTCTCATAATTTCCTGGATGTCCAGACTGCAGACTTTGGTATCCACTAATGGTCGCTTGGCCTCCTTGGGCCGGGAGCTAGACATGCATCAACTGCAATGTCTGCTTGTCCACTGTGCCTTTGCATGGCCCCCGCGTGAGCTGTGCCGAGCACACCCTCAGTCTGAGACGTGGTCAGGACACGGCTCCATCTTTGCCCTGCTGGGGCCCCTGCCCAGCTGCCCTCTTCCCCTCGTCCCCTACATGTGCTGCCAGTCACCAGCCCCGCTCTGTGCTGTCTGCTCCCACAAGGAGAAGGGCCCTCCCCAGTGTTGTCGTCACCCCACGGCTGGACCCCAGGTGCCTTGCTCAGGGCCCTCGCAGCCCACAGGCCAGGCCCCTGGCACTCACCCGCTGTCACCCCGTCACCCACAGTTTGAGGAGCTCGTCTACCTGTGGATGGAGCGGCAGAAGTCCGGGGGGAATTACAGCCGCCACCGGGCCCAGACAGAGAGGCACGTGGTCCTGTGCGTCAGCTCCCTCAAGATAGACCTGCTCATGGACTTTCTGAACGAGTTTTACGCCCACCCCCGGCTCCAGGTGAGGCCCCACCCACAGCCCCTCCCCTCCCCCACGTCCCTGAGCTCCCCCGTGTCCCCCACACTGCCTCCCTCCCCTTAGACCCGCCATCACAGGGAGGGCTGGAGCCCAGGGGCAGCGGGTTTGAAAACACTAGGAAGACAGGGCGGGCAGGGGCGGACGAGCTTGCATAGGGGCTGACCCCATCCCCCCGCCTGCAGGACTATTACGTGGTCATCCTGTGCCCCACCGAGATGGACATCCAGGTCCGCAGGGTCCTTCAGATCCCCCTGTGGTCCCAGCGGGTCATTTACCTCCAGGGCTCCGCGCTCAAGGACCAGGACCTCATGCGAGCCAAGTGAGCCCTGGCATGGAGCCGCTGGGCAAACCCACTCACCCGGCGGGGTCGGCTTCCCAGAACTGCCCTCCCCTGCCCAGCGTCTGGGGGAGGTTCTTCACCAGGTTCTCAGAGAGGCTCAGAGTGGACGGGGTTGGACGGTCACTGCTGCGTGTCGGGTGGGAAGGCCTGCCTGTGGGCGGGTTTCTTTTAAAGACAAGATGACAGATAACTTGAGGAAAGAAGACTGAGTTTTTAAGTGGAACTTTCCAGAATGTGCCCACACACTTCGGGGACCTCCCAGGAGCCCACCCCCCTCATCAAACTTCATTCCACGAATCTGACGTGGTGAAATGTGGGTTGTGTGGAGGCCAAGGGGAGGCCCGGGTCCCCTCACCTGCCCACCTCCTGAGTCCTGGGCCCCACTGCCTCACCCATAAAATTGGGGACAAGAATTGAGTCCGCTGCCTTGGAGGTGGCAGTGGCCAGGGGGTGCATTTCACTGCCCAGCTCCAGGCCTGAGGGGTGGGAGAGGCAGTGGCCACTGGAGGTTAGGGGTTTCAGGGTGATGTGCTGGGAAGGGGCCGGGGCATGAGTGGACAGCAGCTCTCGGGTTGGAGGGGAGCAGAACTGGTCATAGGTCCCCAGACCTTGGGCAGCCTGTCCCAGGAGGGGACAGGCTGGCAGGCGGGGTCCAGCGTCTTTGCCACCAAGTGCTCCCCTTTCTTTGATGCCCCAGCCCCGCCCTGGTTAATGGGCCCCCACAGTGGTCAGGTTGTTAGCACGGAGAGGTGGGGTCTCAACAGGCCCTCCCCGCCCAGCCTCTGCCCCCAGCCGACAGCCAAGACAGGCGTGTGGACGGGCCCAGGTGGTGCTCAGCGCTGTGCTTTGCAGGATGGACAACGGGGAGGCCTGCTTCATCCTCAGCAGCCGCAATGAGGTGGATCGCACGGCGGCGGTGAGTGCCGCAGGCCCCCAGGCCCCGCAGAGCCCGCCTGTTGCGCCCAGCGCTGACCACGCCCTCCCTGCCCCCAGGATCACCAGACTATCCTGCGGGCCTGGGCTGTGAAGGACTTTGCCCCCAACTGCCCCCTCTACGTCCAGATCCTCAAGCCTGAGAACAAGTTCCACGTCAAGTTCGCAGGTACATACATTTGGGGGCCACGTGTGCACACAGGTGAGTATGCACCTCCCAGGGCTGGGGTGGGGGCAGCTAGAGCACCGTGGGCCTGTGGGCACACAGAGCCACAGCCAGGGGACAGCTGGCGCTCCGTCTTCACCAAGGGTGGGTGGAGGGGCACCCCGTCAGGTCCAGGTGTTAGAGATGCCAGTCCTGCACCTGGGGGCCCTGGTGTCAGTGAGGGCAGGAGCCAAGGGTAGGGGAAGACAGGTGCACCTAATGGGCGTGCCCTAGCTGGGGGAGCAGGTGAGTGCGAGTTAGCTGAGCAGACGGGGTGCTGGGGGTGGGGTCTGCCGTGGGGGGTCATGGAGACCTGGACAGGCGGCCCTGACCATCCTGCCCGTAGACCACGTGGTGTGTGAGGAGGAATGCAAGTATGCCATGCTGGCCCTGAACTGCATCTGCCCGGCCACGTCCACGCTCATCACCCTGCTGGTGCACACGTCCCGTGGCCAGTGAGTGCCCGCCCACCCTGCACCATGCTGGGGAGGCCTGTGATGGGAAGGGGGGCGTAGAGTGGGCAAAGGTCCTGCCCCGGGAGGTGTGCAGCCCAGGGGAAGTGGCCTGGATGCCTGGGGGTGGGGGGGTCACTGGTGTGGACGTGGTGGAGGATGCCAGGACCACTCAGGAAGCAGCAGGTGCAGGGGCGCTCTGAGCAGCCAAGTGGGGTGCGGTCAAGGGCTTCTGGGAATTGCAGGCAGGGCCCACCTAGAGCAAGGGCCGGGGCCGGGGGCCAGGAGAGCTGGGTCTTGGGCCCAACACTGACTAGGGGAGCTTGGTCTCGGGGACAAGGTGCGTTTGGTTCACAGCACCTGGGTGGGGGGACCCGGGCAGAGCCCTGGGGCTGACGAGGGGCACTGTCTTCTGCTTGGGGAGACCAGGTTGTGGCCCCGATGCCGCCCTTGGCTCCGTGTGTGGCCTGTGTGGCCCTGGAGCAGGGACCAGGCAGGGGAGGAGCACACATGGGCTGTGGAGGCCAGTTTTGACCCAAAACATTTTGGCACCCTCTAAGAATCAGACCGTTGTTTACAGCCTTTTAATGCTCGCCAAGTGACCTCTCAGGTCACCCTGGAGGCTCAGCCATACAGGGAGGGGCCAGGGGTCACGGTCAAGCTTGCCAAAGGCTGATGGGGGGAGCTCAGCCCGCTGAGGTGACCCCCCGCCCGCCCAGGGAGGGCCAGGAGTCGCCGGAGCAGTGGCAGCGCATGTACGGGCGCTGCTCGGGCAACGAGGTGTACCACGTGCGCATGGGTGACAGCAAGTTCTTCCGCGAGTACCAGGGCAAGAGCTTCACCTACGCCGCCTTCCACGCCCACAAGAAGTACGTGCGGGGCGGCTGGGCGGGGCTAGGGCCGCGCTCCCCCACCTCGTCCGGGCCGGGTGGGGCCTCCCGGTCGGACGTCAGAGGCCGCGTTTGGCCCTTCTGCCCACACAGCGCGCGCGGCCTCCCCTGTCTGACCTCGGGGCTTCATCAGGCGCGAAGGGAGGCTCCCACGTGAGAGGCGATCTCCGCCAAGGGCCCCGCCCCCAACAGGGCCCCGCCCCCACAGGGCCCCGGAGCTTGGCCCCTGAGGAGCCGAGGAAGGCGGCTTTAGGCCTGCCAGACCCCGAGTGGTCCCATCCCGCCGCTCCCCCTCCCAGGTACGGCGTGTGCCTCATCGGGCTGAAGCGGGAAGAGAACAAGAGCATCCTGCTGAACCCCGGGCCGCGGCACACGCTGGCCGCCTCCGACACCTGCTTCTACATCAACATCACGAAGGAGGAGAACTCCGCCTTCATCTTCAAGCAGGAGGAGAAGCAGCGGCGCGGCCTCGCGGGGCCGGGTGGGGGCCAGGGCCCCTCCCGCCTGCCGGTGCATAGCATCATCGCCTCCGTGGGTGAGGCCCAAGGTCCTGGGGACGGCGCGTGACTCGGCCCAGGCGGGAGGCGCGGGAGACCCGGCCGAGACCCAGTTCTTCGGTCCTCGGGCCTCAGTGTACACATCCATCCAGTGGGGACACCCCTGACATCTGCGGGGACTTTGTCTGCATTGGTGTCCAGGTGCCTGCCCTGCCCGAGGCTACCCTGTGTCCGGGCCATTGGCCCCATTATACTGAGGGGGAAATTGAGGCTCAGAGAGGTGCCAGACTCCCCTAGGGCAGTGCAACTGGACATGACCCTGGGTCCATGACCTTGGGAGTCAGCTGTGTCCACCTCTCTGGGAACCGACCACCCCGCAGAGAGGCTGGGGGAGAGCCTACCAGCCAAGTCGCCACTCTGTTCCAGGGACTGTTGCCATGGACCTCCAGCACACAGAGTGCCCGCCGGCACGAGGGAGCGAGGCCGGCAAGCTGGCACTGCCCACAGAGAATGGCTCCGGCAGCCGGCGGCCCAGCATCGCGCCTGTCCTGGAGCTGGCTGACAGCTCGGCCCTGCTGCCCTGCGACCTTCTGAGTGACCAGTCAGAAGATGAGATGACACAGTCAGATGATGAGGGGCTGTCAGTGGTGGAGTGAGTGTTGCCTGGGGGGCACAGAGCTTTTGACGGGAGGAGGAAGGAATGGGCCACTGGATGGAGACCTAGGGCCTGGAAGTGCCCCCTTGAGTGCAAGGCACCCAGGAAGAGGCAGGCCAGCAGGCAGTGGCACCGGGCGCCCGTAGATGTGGGTCCTGGGCTGTGCCCATGCTCTCAACTGTGGCTTCTGAACAGCTTCGTGGGTACCTTGCTTGGCAAATGGAATCTTCTGGGACCCTGACACGCAAACACCACGGCCTGCTCGGTGGGGTGGCTGTCCTCAGCATGGTCTGCAGAGGTCACAGACAGGGGAGCTCTGGGTGACATGCTCTCCAGGCCTGGAGGCCACTGGCCCATCCCGAGCTGTCGTCCTGCCCTGAGTTTGGGGCCAGGTTCTGCTGTCATATCCTCAGCAACTCTTGGCCACTTGGCCACAGACAGGAAGTGCTCTGACAATGGTCATGGCCGGCTGCGGCCTGGACATCCCATTCCTCCCAGGCTGGGCCATCTCCACAGCCACTCTGCTGACCTTTGCCTCTGGGAGGAAGTAAACATGCTATAAAGATAGACCAGCTGTCGGGGACCAGCTCCAAGATCCAGGGGTACCAGCCAGAGCACCTGGACACTGTGGGGCAGGTGGCGGGGCTACCTCTGAGGGCATGTCCCTTAAGCCAACTGGAGAAGAGCCGAAAGCCAGCCCCTCCCCACTCTGCTCAGGCCAGTGTCCTGGCAGGGCGGCTGCCTGCCACCCCCAGTGGTGTGTGCTGGGTGCTGAAGGGAGGGTGGCAGCCTGCTGGGGACAGCAGCCTGGTCCAGGACAGCGAGTCGAGAAGGGGCTGAGGGCCGGTGTTCACCTGTCGGCTGGGGTGCTGGGGGCATCAAGGAGGGGTTGGCCAGGCTGTCGGGGAGGGATGGGTCAGTGGGGCCTGGCACCCTGTGTGACCGCCCAGCATGGCCTGCAGGGCATACTTGGGCCAGGGGCGAGGACTGGGCAGATCTGGCTGCCCGTGGCTGTGGGGGGGCCGTGCTGAGGACACTGTGTCCATCTCACACCCCAGGTATGTGAAGGGCTACCCCCCCAACTCGCCCTACATTGGCAGCTCCCCCACCCTGTGCCACCTCCTGCCTGTGAAAGCTCCCTTCTGCTGCCTCCGGCTGGACAAGGTAGGCCTCCTCTCGGCCTCGCTCTGCGTGACTCTGCACTTTGTCGTAATTGCAAGGACAAGGAAATCCTTGGCCCTTCCCCTGGCTCACGACCTTGGCCTTTTGCCTGCCTGCTCGCTCTTCCTCCCTGGACGCCTGTTTCCACTTTAGAGGCGTGTTTTTTCCAAACCCCCTGGGAGCAGGCGGGAACCCCTGCAGCAGCTGTTTCCTGAAAGCGAGGAGATCCCTGTCATAACCATAGCTCACCAAAATCAGGACACGGGTGTCTGACCCACAGGCCATTCTCAAAATGTACAGTTGTTCCAATAGCCCCCATTGTCCTTCATGGCGACGCTGTCCCAGCCACACTCAGCATTTTAGCTGTCCTGTCGCTCTCTCTTAATCTGGAACTTGGCCTGCCCTCCACTGGGTCTCTTGGTCTTAGCATTTTTGAGAGCACAGGTGGGTTCACAGGTGTTTTCTTCTGAGAAGATTCAGCTTGTGCGTTTGGGGCCTCCGGAGCTGATGTGTTTCCTTCTGGTGGCATCCATGGTGACGCTATCTTTTGACCACATGGTACCAGTGGCTCAGCCAGGGTCCTCCAGTGTGGAAAACACTCTGGTTTTGCCTTTTCAGTTAGTAGGTCACCAAGGGGACAGGCGTGGGTTCTAGGTAAATAGCTGCTCTTCCCCGAACATCCACCCGCGTGAGGCGTCGGTCGGTGGTCTGACCCCACATCCCTTGTGACGTGCTGCTGTGTGCAAATCCTTCCCCTGCCTGGCGGGTGTGTTCTCGCTCATCTTCGTGCACTACTGTGGGCTCCCAGGTTCTTGTCTTATTCGGGGGTTGTAACCCATTGCTCGTTGTGATAATGTCCTCATTCATCACAGGTCAGTATTGATTCTGATATTCAGACTTGCCCAGTTATGCTGGTGGGGGGCCCTCCAGGCTGGTGTCCGGGCCCTAACGACAGGTCCCGTCACCCTTTGAATACTCCCCTGCTTCCCAACCCACCGTGTTCCTGCCCGCCCTGCACCCCCAGCCCCCCGCCCCTTGTTCTGCTCCAGTCCTGGAACCACTCACTTCTCTAAGGAGCCGACTTCTTCTAGTGGGAAATGATGCTTAGTAACCAAGACTGGGCACTTGGGGTGCTCAGCGCTGCTGGGGTGTCACAATGTCTGGGCATCTCGGTGATACACACACATGTGGACACACTACACGTGTTTATTTCTGCCTCTGCTGAGACCACGTGTTCCTAGGGTCCTCTCCCTCCCTGACATGACTGTCCCTCGTGGAGCAGTCACTGTGGGCACAGACAGGCTGGGTGGCCTGTGAGGCTTCTAAGGGGTTCATGCGGGCTATGAAAGGATGGGGGCTGGGAGCCTGGCTTCGCCGCGGTGGTCAGCGTGGGTTCTGGCACCTTGTCTGCAGGGCTGCAAGCACAACAGCTATGAAGATGCCAAGGCCTACGGCTTCAAGAACAAGCTGATCATCGTGTCGGCCGAGACGGCCGGGAATGGGCTGTACAACTTCATCGTGCCGCTGCGCGCTTACTACAGGTCCCGCAAGGAGCTGAACCCCATCGTGCTGCTGCTAGACAACAAGTGAGGCCCTGCGGCCCCAGCGCAGACCCCGCCAGGGTGGGGCCTCCCCTGGTCTTTCCTGCCGAAAGCACACCCCTGGTTCCCCATGTACAGATGCCCCCAACTCCCCACCGGCTCCGGCTCCCCGCCAGCTCCCACTCCCGCGCCCTCTGGCCCTTGGTGGTGCTCCATGTTCCTCCCTCATGGCTTCTCGTGTCCCTATTGCCCCCCCCACAACTGTGAGCCCCTAGAGGCCCCCCACCCCAGAGGCCTGGCAGCCCAGAGCTATAGTCCAGACTTGGCTGTCTGGCTTGGCCAAGTTCCACCCCGTGGGGCCTCAGTTTCCCCTGGGGTAAAGTAAGAACAGCCTGGGTGGCCTCTAAAGGCCCCTCAGGCCCGCCGCGCTCAGTCCTGGGGACCCCAGCTCTGCCTAGCCCTGCCCACCCAGGGCAGAGGTGGGCAGAGCAGGACGGGCACCTCCAGGACCTGCTGTCCCCACAGGCCAGACCACCACTTCCTGGAGGCCATCTGCTGCTTCCCCATGGTCTACTACATGGAGGGCTCTGTGGACAAGTAAGGCCCGGCCGCCAGCCTCCGCTGCCCAGAGCAGGCCAGCATCTGCCCTCTTGTTAGCAGTAGTTAAGGGTCTACTCCCCCAGGGAGGGCAGAGCCACAGCTGGGGGGGGCAGGCACATCCAGCGGGGCTCCTGGACCCCTGGTCAGCTGGCTGCCTCTCCAGCCTGGACAGCCTGCTGCAGTGTGGCATCATCTACGCCGACAACCTGGTGGTGGTGGACAAGGAGAGCACCATGAGTGCCGAGGAGGACTACATGGCTGATGCCAAGACCATTGTCAACGTGCAGACCATGTTCCGGTGAGGGCGGCGGGCTCACACCCAGGGCAGGTTGGGTACCTCTCACCCACCACCACCACTTCGTTCTGACTCCGTCCCCTCACCCCCCCTCACCCCCTCGATGGCCCCTCCCTGAGCCCCCATCCATCACTGCAGCGCCCCTGTGACCATCCCACCTTGACCCCACCCGT